AACCTCGAAAAGCAGAATGGAATGTGCGAATCTGGTTCAATATCCCTGAAGGGTTGACGTAAGGCAACTGGCGGTTATCCCACATCTGATTCACCAACGCCTGGTAGTCGAGCACCAACGACGGCTTTTCGCTGGGCGGCAGTCGACAGTTGCGCAGATACTCGACAAGCTGCGGGCAGTTGGACAACGCCTGCAACGCGGCGTTCATATAACACGTGTTGCCCAAGTTACGGAGTCCGGTCAAGCCTAAAAGAAGGCACGCACCACAAGCTGAGTCACAGCCGCGCTGCGGCATATGCCGGTGCCGGTTACCGGGAGGGTTGTCGTCAGTCGAGGCGGCCGGTTCCAATGAATACGACGACCGCTTGATCTCGAACGGCTCGCACAACTTATGGCTGCCGAATGGATTGCAGTAAGTGACGAAGTTCGTCTCGACCGTTTTGCTCTTACGCGATACTACACTGACCGACGAAACTGGATCTGGGTCTGTATCAGAATGCAGCTTTGGCTCCAACTGTTCCACCACTGCTGCATCGTTCGACGCTGGTTGTAGAGAGCAAGCCAGTACAGTGGAATGCAGGCCTTCGGTTGTGCCCATGTCTCTGGCCGACCAAACGCATCACCGAATACCTGAGAACAGCAGCACTATGTCCAGGAGGTTTAACAACACTAAAATATGAACAAATCAACTCGAACTTCAGCTAAGAGTTAAACGTGTTTTCGATACCCTCCCCAAAGACATGGTGACCCAATAACTGTCATACATGACTGGAGGTAACTATCAAAACAAAAATAACTGCACAGCATCGACTCTTAATGCGCCTCGCTGTCGATCGCTTATCACCATCGTCATCATCACCATCCAACCATACGCGGGTAAGTGACGAGGGGTCGTTGTGCAAACCAGAAGTTACCTTTTTCACCACAGCATGCGTAAGATTTTTGTTCGAATTCAGAGGCGTGCCAAATATCTTTATCAGGTACAGTAACAGTTACCATTCAGTTTCACATCACCTTTAATTTTTAAATAGCTCATGATTCCTCCAAGATCAGATTTCACAATTTATTGCGCAGCATCCTTGATCATAGTAGCTTACGGGACACACTTAGAAAAGCCGCATCTGTACGGCAGTTGAGTACCTGCAGTGTCAGATGCTTATCGCATCATTTTGGCCGCTACAAACACCTCACACACATCACGAGCGATGGTTCAGGAGCTCGTACTCCTTATATGTTACCGTATAAACATAATAAGTTGGCAGCCATTAGGCAACTAGAGACATGAGGGCGATGCAACACGCGTGAATTCTGGTCTGGAGGAATCATTCGCTATTTGATATACATGGGCGTGCGCAAAATGATACTGGCGTTCGTGATTTGGTAACTGCCTGAAACCATAGAGCCTAGGATTTAAATCAACGAAATAAGTCAGTTTTCACTGATATCGCACATTAAACCAAAGACAACCGGGTCGAACTATAAAATATCTGGTTCAATGTCATTAAACTCAATGAAATCGATTTTGGATGGCGGCATCATTCGTTGATACGGCAGCTTTCCC